TACTATCAGATTTAGAAAATAACTCAAAACCATTGGGGACCACTAATTTAATTTTCATCTATGAAGCATCTTATAGATACCAAAATCTCAAGGAATGAGTTGCTCTGATTAATTGCATTTTCTGGATAACTGAGACTTATCTAGAAAAGGTTTAGTATCCCATCCCTAGAGTTGAAAATATACTGATAGATGTTCTTGCCATAGCAAATCATACTTTAATCTTTGTGTGAGGACAGATAATACAAAGGATGATCATATGGAAATTAAAAATAATTTTACAGTATTGCAAACGGAAGTGACAGAACGAGCATGACATTGTGTTGGATATGTACTCATCTCAGAGCTTAACCATTGCTTTTGAAAAAAAATACTAATGTTGCTTCATTCCATTATCACTTATACCATTATGAAAAAGTGAACTGCAAAAGAAAATGGGTTTGATTCTTGTTAGTGTTATTGCACGAGGAATAATTGAGAGGGACAAAAAGAATGTGCTGGATATTTTAGTACACATGATATTTTTATTTCCCCCAACAAGCAAAAATAATCTTCTTTTTCTATTACTATAATTAAATGTAATTCTCAGCTATTTTGAAACTCACACAGCAGTGTCTACTATAATTTGATACTGCTTAAGTCCATTGTTGCTTATTTATCAGCCAATTAAGAGGCAGCAATATACTAGATTAAACAGCGGTATGAGTATGTGTGCATGGTTTTTTTAAACTACCTCCCGTGTGCTGCCTAAACTCAAGTCTTGCTGGGAACTTTTGATACAACTTTCTCTTGCTTTTACTCTTCTATTTGTTTCTCTCTAGGGAAAAGGTATTAAATAATTTTGTTGAGACTAACAAACTATGTTAGTTCTCTTTTCAAATTGTGTGTTGTAACCATTTCCTACCTACATTTTACAAAAGTGACTATAACTCAAAGAGCAGTGGCATGTTTATAATTACGCCCTTAATTAATGGAGTAGAATGCAGGCACTTTTATACTCTATAGCCCAGCGATTCTCAAAGTCTAGCCCCGGACCAGCAGCATCAGTACCACCTGGGACTTTGTTAGAAATGCACATTCTCAGGCCCCACCCCAAACCTACTAATTCAGAAACTCTGAGGATGGGACCCAGCCATGGTTGACCAAGCCCTCCGGGCGATTCTGATGTACACGGAAGTTTGAGAAGCAATGCTTTAGGCTGAAGGGTAAGGGGACTTAGCCAAGGTTAGGAGCTACTTCAAGACAGGTTCTCCCCATTTTCAACATCCCATTTCTCCAGACTAAGTCATTAATTTAGACTTTTTGAAACATCAGCACTGACCTGTTATCAATGTATGGTCAATCATCTAGTTTTCTCTAAATTCATAAGGAAGGGATACCCAGATACTGTCCAGTACACACTCTTATGATATGAATAGCCCCCAAATAACTGAGAGAATCTGGTCATTCTCCTCACAGCTATATTGCCCCCAACTAGCTCACTGTGGATGCCTCTGCTAGAACCACAAGATGAAGATTAGTGTCGCTGCTGTTGTTGCCGATTAGTGAAATTTGACCAGAGTTTCCTAGTTTGACCAGGTTTTTTAAATATTGCAAAACCAAATGTGGATTGTCCTCAGAAATATTAGTATTTTACACTGCTTCATGCATATAATAGTCATTATTAGAAGAACAAAGCCTTATCAATAAATCTCAATGTACTTTAATAAATGGAACTGAATTTCCTAACAAAATTGAGAGAGAGCGTAAAGTTCTTTGCATAAACTGATCTGGAAAATGAGTCAGAAAATATTTTCTGACCAGTTACCATTTCAAAACACAGTTATAAAGCCAACCAGCTAATCAGTTTCCTTTCTTAACTGCTCCCTTCTTGCTAGTTGGAGGGAAGGGTGGGTTGGAGAGGGAGGGGAAAAGGCAGGGTTCCAGGCACACAGAGAAGGCAAGGCATGAAATCAGCTGGATTCAGGAACTAGAAGGAGATTCGTTAACGGTGTAGGACAAGTGATGAGGAGAGGAGATCAACTGACGGACGAGGCCAGAAGTAGGCAGGTACTTATCATGAAGGACAAGGTGAGGATTTGTTCCTAAACGTGGCCAGAATTCATTACAAGATTTTAAGTAAGACAGGGTTGTGATCAACCCAGAATTATAGTACAATCACTTTGCCAACAGACGATAGAAGGATGGATTCTAGGGAGAAAACGCTGAAGAGCAACTGCCATCAGGACAAGGTGATAAGAACCAAAACTAAAAGCACTATCAGTGGGAACGGAGAGAAGAAAACGGATTCAAGGGATACACAGGAGGTAAACAGACCTTCTGCTGGAGAACTCTACTCAGGAAATAACAACCAGGAGCCTCTAGCCTTCTCTCAAGAGTCCTTGCACTAAAAAAAAATGGCTTACAAACTTTTTCGTTGAATCACTTCTGAATCACACTCACATACGAATATTTGCTGGAGAGGAAAGGGGACACCAACGCTCTGTCAAACACAACCAGATTTTGAAGCCCAGTTTAGACTCAACTAGAGAAACACTCCCTACAGGCACCTGTGTGCGTGTACACGCACACACTCACACACACAAACTCGCGCGTGTGTGCGCGCACACATTCTACCATTAGATGATGGCCTTACGATTGAGTTGGGAAAGGCGTCTGTCCAAACACCATGGTCTGGGTGATTCTCTCTCCTCAGCCTCCCCCATTCCCAACCTAGCCAGTTCTTTAGCTGGTCTACTGGAATTGCTTTCTAAATTGCCTGTGCCCACCACACCAAGCACAGATTTTCTGATTACTTCCAGTTAAACTTTAAAAAAATGCCATGATTACTTCAAAGACATGAGCCTTCAGTGGGCACCATTTTTTTAAACCCTTTTCCTTTCACTTGTCTCCACTCAAGGTTACATCCTCCATTTCTCCATCTTTTCATTACCAGCTAGTTGTATGGAGGTTCCACAGGTGAGAATGCGGGCAGTTGTTATTACGTTGTTATTATGTAATTGTTGTTATTATGTAATATTATGTTATTACTGTTTTACTCTCTGGTTTTTGAGTACTCTTTGGGCAATACTCATGCTTGGTTGCCAAAGCATGGCTACCATGGTAATATCAACAGATAGCAATATTTTAAAAAGAAAACAGCAAATTAAAAGCTTGTTTTAAATGAAACAGTGAGCAAAATAGGTAGAACTCAGTCAAGAGGCAGATTGCTACTGAGTAATTCTCCTCTCCTGGGCACACACTATTTTTTTAAAGAGCAGCCATTCTCCAGGGGAACATTAAACATAAATAGTCTGCTTGTTTGTTTTTTACTTACCTCTCGAAGTATTTCTCTAGTGGGGAAAGTTCCTGGTTTTTCAGTAGTTAGCCTAGGTGAGGAAGCCATCGTGTCTGCTTCCCCAAAATATCGTTGCTGACCTCTCTGAGCACTCCATGGAGGTCAGGGTGGAATTTTGCAGTCCTCAAACCTCTCGGAGAAATGTTCAGCCTTTCACTATTTTACCTACTCTCTCAAGAACTCATGTACAGAAATCCCACTACAGTAAAACGTCAACAAGGGAGAACACAAATAATGAACACGTCAGTCCCCTGGCAGCCGATACTAATAGCCAGGCTTATGCAAAACTAATTTCTTAAGTTGAAATTGGTTTATTGTGTGAGGTATGGCATTATATAATGTAACATTTAGCTGTTCTATTTAATAAGAATTGGTCCTATTCTTGGCAAGTAAAAAAGCCCTAATATTAAATTATGCAATTTCCATGCTTTTCAATTTCTTGTGCGCCCATGTTACAGAAAGCCCAATTTGAAATATAAATAAGAGAACGTTACATTTTGTGCAAGTAGAGATTCAATAGTGATCTGAACTCTTTTTTTCCTTTAAAATATGTCTTTTAAATGCACATGTGATAGCTCCTGCATTTTCATAACATCTGAATTCTGAACTTCTAAGCAGCAATCAAAGCTGCAGGAGCTGACCTATTGCAATTTTACTGCTGTGGCAAAATCAGTCCCTTTATTCCATGGCACACATTTTCAAAGACAGTCTCAGCAGTGTACTTTTTTTATGACTCCAGTTTATGCAACTTTTCCTTAGGACCTTACCTCATCCATATATCTGAGATTCCTAAATGCAGCGAGCTGTCAAGTCACAGCATTATTTTCTTTTTCATCAGTAAAGTATCAGTACAGAGCAGAGAATGAGGAATAAATTGGGGTCACAGACATGCTGGGCATGTATCCTCTATGAAATCCATTCAGAAGTTATGAAAATGTAGGAGCTGACACTTGTACATTTAAAGGTATATATATTCAAAAGAAGGGGGAAAAGAAGAGTTTACATCATTTCAGAACTAGGGTTCTTTGTGAATAAAGGGCGAGTATCCTAATGGATACTGGAGGCCAGAAGCTCACACGGGGCCACAGCTGAAATTAATAGTGAGCAACTTCTAAGCAAGACCTCCAAAGGGAATGACTCAAAGGAGAAAAACCAAACTGCATGCATTCTTTTACTCCCTGCCAGAAAATCGGGGTCTCATAAATTCACTGAGACATCCAATGAGAACACAACTGGGATTTTCCCACTTGCAGAAAAATCAAAGATGGCCATTTGGAAGGAAAGACAAGGGGGGCTTCTGAATCAAGGATTATAGTACTGGACAGGACTATGCAGGTCAGAGACGAAGTTTTTTTCCAAAAATATCATCCTTTGAGTAATTATGTATTATCTGTGTTCCTAGAGTCCCTGGAGCTAGAAAACCAATGCATACCAACGTAATTTCTTTATATTTTATTTCTATCTTTGTCCTTAACTAAGCTTCTGGTTGGAAGGGTCAGTTTGAGTATAATCCCTCTACATGGGTCTAAAGAACAGAGAAGTTTACGGATGAACTTCCTTTAGCCCCTAACACCAAAGAGCTTCTCACCTCCCACAAGTAGAACTCTCTCGTATTTTGTGCTTCTGAGGATACCAAGGAGAGTTTCAAGGAAAAGGAGTTACTCACCCAACAGACAAGATAAAGATCCATTCAACTCAGTAGTGTGTGAGCCGAGCTTCCACTAAAGCGAGGAACTCAACGTGTCATAATTTTCAAGGCAGCTTATAAGATCCAATTTCATCTCTCAGCAACGTGTAGCTGATAATGCTTGTCACCTGGATGGCCTGCAGATGTGTTTTAAGGATAAAAAAGACACTGAATTTAATTTACAACTTTCTCTAAAAAGAAGAGAGCTTTTCTGAAGTTAATAGAAAACATAACATTGAAAATTAGTACGCTTTTTCAGATACAGATAAATGTTAATCATATTAGCAAACCAAAGGAAGTATTTCTCTATTTCAGTTAAAATATCTCTCTTGGCTTTAATTATGTAGCACATATGTAACTAGTTAGAATTTTTGAGAGAGTAACTCAAATAACTGCTTCAGTTCCCTACTATCTTTTCTTGTTGCTTTGCCCTGAAGACTGAGAAAAACTTTAAAAATAATATAGCTACCTTTTAATTATTCATGGAAAAAAGGTAAACAATGTGAGAATCTGTTTTACTATCATTGCCATGATTAAATAAATAAATTATTACAATCATTTGCCAATTACTCTTCTGCTGTATTTGTGTTCTTTTGCTTACTGTTTGAAACTAAAATATTTTATCACCATCCTACCTGGTGAAAGGGATAAAAGATAGAGTTTTCCTTACTCTGGTGATTTTTATTTCTCTAAGAAATGACAGTATCAAATTTCCACAGGGATTGAGAAAACCCAGCTGAGTTAGTTTTAGGTTAGATGACTAGATCATTGGATATAAAGTTTTGAATTCTCATACATTTCAATAAAACCACTGATAATTAAACTTCTAACCACACAGTAAGACACTAAAACAAATATTTGCGGATTAGCTATGCAAAATCTACTTCCCCTAACGGAAGATAATCCAAAATTAACTTTAAATAACTATGTATTAATTGAGCATATACTCTGCATGATCATATAACATAATAAATGCTAAAATTTATTTCTAATTCAAAAACCATCCTGGAGGAGGGAAATCATTGACCAGTAGCCTCTGCACATATATATAGTTGAATAGACTATGCTTATATTAGTCCCATGACCTTTCTGCAACTAGACTTTTCTGCATTTCATAGAACTATCTCACCTTACTTAAGTACTGTGATGCTTTGATAAATCAAATGCAAAGGCTATACACAAACAATGCTGGGTTTTAACATAACAAAGTTAAGATTTTTATTCCATATTTGCAGTAGCAGGTATGTATATGTTTGCATCCTAGAACAAAAATGGATCAGAATAAATAAATTTTCAGAATTGACAAATTAAGCGATACATCTGTCCACACATGGAAACAAATTGTTGAAAACGGTGTTATTTACTAGTCTGTGCTCAGGGAGGAAAGGGAAGAAGGGATGTATTAATTATACATGACGAATGACTTGACACTTCCTGGGTGTTACAATGAAGTTTTGAAAGGTTTTCCTGGGGGATTGCTTCATGTTTCAGATGAATATGTGTTTCTTCATATTTTTACATTTTAAAGACTTTTAATAAAGATGGCAGAAATACATTATAAATTTTGGAATACACAAACACACACATACACATACACACATATTAATCATATTCAATTGCTCTCAACATCCAAAGAGTCAACCTCTGGGTTTCTGTAAGAAAGACGGATGGTCCCCATTTATTCATGCGCCTATGGTAACCAAATGATTCCAGTTCTCACTTACATTCTAGATGGTAGCTTGCATCTTGTTAGTGTTACTATTTCATTCAAAGAAACTTGAATGGCACAGTGCAGTAGTATTGATGTGTACAGTAAAATTATGATTACCTATGAGAAAAGGAATGGCAAAAAAACCCCTCACATTTGAAAATGACCTTATACCAAAAGCCTACTTCCAAACATTGTACCAATATTGACTTTTATCTTAAGATTGTGCCATTAAAAGACTATTAAACCATCACTTTGCTGTACACCTGAAACTAACACAACATTGTAAATCAACTATAATATAAAATAAAAATTAAATTAAAAAAATAAAAGACAATTAAACCTATTTATATATGTTATTTCCAAGGCTGTCAATTCGAGTTATAACAGAGTTTGTTCCATAATCGCATACACTAGGTATTCATACAAGAAATCAAGAGACCTAACATCTCCAAATCCTAACCAATTCCCCTCTTCCTCCTTTCAGTTGAATAAAAAAATTATAATTTTATCTCTTTCCTTACGGCCTTGTCTCAGGTTTCAGGAAGTTCACTGTGCATAGAGCGATGGGTGTTTCCAACAGAGAGAGACACCGTTTGGCAAAGAAAAAAAATCATCATTCTGAGTCATCGTGAATACTACAGATTGCCCCTACATCTCTGAAAGTAATTCCCTAATAAAGTAGATTATAATATACAGGGTCCAACTCGCCACATTCTGTGATGGAACGGTTGCTCTGTGATATGTAATGCTGAGATAATCCCGACATGATGTGTAAGGTCGAGACCTCTCCCTTTTTCTGCCCTCACACCAGCTCCCCACCTGCACAATTAATTCATCGCCAACCACCCCAGTTCCCAAAGACAGACTCCAGAAAAGCAGTAGGCTAATCACATACCAGGTGTGCCAGCACTGTAATGCCTTCTTTGTCTTTCCCTGCTTGTTTCTCCCATTAACACCTGAGACCAGGGACCACATTCTACTCTATTATGCGTCTGTACAGCATATAGCACAGGACCTGGCATGTAATAGGCACAAAATAAGTGCAAGTGGAAAGAACAAATTTAAACCATGGTTAGAGCAGAATCTATGGAAGCCTATGTAGTTAGGTTTTATGTAGTAAAACCTAAGTACACAGGGATTGTTTCCATTATGTGTAACCTTCCAAAGAGCACTGAGAAGACCTCATTGGCCTAGACAAGAACTGGAACTTCTGCTTTGCAAGGAGGGGCCCCTGCTTCAGGCCCACAGAGCCACTGACATCCCTGCTTCAGGTCCACTGACCTCGGGAGGTGAGGAGGGAAAGGACAGGGTAGAGGCCACTTTAGCAGAGCAGTGCGGACAGAAGCAGGACTGGCCCGCGGCCCACACCGCTGTCCAGGGATGCGGGCTCTGGGAGGCCTGCAGAACACATTTCCCTGTTTCGTGATTCTCTGGGACACGGAGAAGAGGGTGTAAGTTAAATACTGGCATTTAGATCTGCTGTTGTTTCTGCATACAAACCAGACGTGCCTATTTTTTCCATTTATTTTCAGGTAATTGGATCCGTGGGTACCTAGGAAAGTATTTAAATCTCTACCTCCTTTAACTTCTGGCATCACTATTTACGTGTTTCCCAGGTAATTCACGGCTGAAAGTTCTTTGAGAATGAAAAGATTAGGCCAAAATATAAAAAGATGAGGACAGGGCTTCCCTGGTGGCGCAGTGGTTGAGAGTCCGCCTGCCGATGCAGGGGACACGGGTTCGTGCCCCGGTCCGGGAAGATCCCACATGCCGCAGAGCGGCTGGGCCCGTGAGCCATAACCGCTGAGCCTGCGCATCCGGAGCCTGTGCTCCGCAACGGGAGAGGCCGTGATAGTGAGAGGCCCGCGTACCGCAAGAAAAAAAAAAAAAAAAAAAAGATGAGGACAATGGGATTTAAAAACAGATTGCTTCTCACCCCTTGCTGCAATTTTACTTGTTTAACGTGTCATATTTTTCCCTAACCTCCTACATTTACATAGCTGTAATACACTGTCTTTCAACTGTTACAGGAAAACCATTCAAAATATCACTTTCTGTGACTTCTCTATGATTCCTTTGGTAGATGCTTCTTGAGTTGATGCAACTTTAACCAGAATCTGGTAGCATAAAACTCTGGGTTCCAGGCATCCGGAAAAACACACTTCCTCTTCCCTCTCCTTTCTGAAAATCAGCTGTTGACAAGATTGTTTACGCTGATTTTTAAGAAGCACCAGAATTCTACTAAAAAGTGACGTCGGGGTGGTGTGCTTAAGTGTACCCTGAGCTTCCTGTCAGAACTTTGCGGCCACCCCTCCTCCCTCCAAGACATTCTGTCAGCCAGAAATAGAGAAGTCGGCACATTCTTCCATTTAAATAGCAAGGTATAAAAAGCTGATAGGATGCCTGATCACTGCTCCAGATTCTCGTGATGTCTCACTTTTCCATGATGTGGATTGTTCAACCTGAATAAACCAATCCAACTCGTGCTAGTACCTCATCAGGCTCCAATTCCGCCATTTATGGGGCACTTACCACATGCCAAGCTCTGTGCCAAGCTTTTTACTCTTTACAACCACCTGATGCTGTAGGTGCCCTTGTTATCTCCAGACTACAAACCAAAGCTCAGAGAGAGTCCATACCTTAGACAAGTACCCACAGCAAGTGGAGGAGCGGGGAATCAAACCCACACCCACCTTGTGGAGTTCTCGGTCTGGACCATACCCACTCTGCTCTCAGGCGGCTCTCTGAGGGTCTCGCACTTCCCCTCCAGAAAGGTCATTGCTTCTAAAACAATGAAAGGCCAACCTCCTAAAAACGCTTTCCTTTGAGAAAAAAGATGCGTTGCTGTATCACACATCGTGCGCTCTTATATTTCAGCAATTTTTTTTTTTTTTAAGGCGGAGGTACACAGTGGCCTGAAAATACGAGTTCGGCCTTTATGTTGAGAGCATAATTAATAACTTGGTGAATTGGTATTGCTATCCTGACCGGTCAGCGTGCGGGCTGTTAAATCACCGGGCTCTGAGCTCTATCGCCGCTGGGCGGTGCAAAGCCCACGCCGACTCCGCGGTGTTCCTTCGCCATCTAGAGGCTCCGCTCTGCAGTGGCGCTGTGTCCCTGGAAAGCCAGGCTGAGTTCTGAAATGAATCCTTGTGCCCCTGTTTGGATCACTCCTTTATGGCATTTCAGTCTTCTTTTCTCCTCTAAAAACAGAATTGCTTTCTTCGTTAAGTCTCCAAACTTAAGAAAGGCCAATTGCATTAAATAAAATATGATGTTGATATTTTCATGATAATGAATTTGAGAAATGCAATCATGAGAAAAATAGCTCATTAAAGAGCTCTATTGTTGGCATTTTAGGAATAAACACACTACTTTCTATACACAGTGATCAATTACCAGTTATGTGAGCAGTGATTCATCTCTCTT